AAGTGTTGAAGAAAGAATAGTTCAGTCTAGAACAACTTTTTCTTGCTAACTTCACTGGAGACCCAACCTGTTTGGAGCTCTCAGGCTGTAAAGGTTTCCCCTCTTTCAAGTATGTGTTCTTTTACACCTCCTTCACTCTCTACTCCCTATTGTACACTCCAACCTGGTTGGAGCTCACTGGCTGTAAAGGTTTCCCCTCTTCAAGTATGTGTTCTTGTATGCCTCCTCCACTCTCCACTCCCTGTTGTACATGGCTGAGTCAGTTTCCTTGATGGCTATATCCCCTACCCCATACCATAGTCTTCAGGTGTTTATTCCACCCTCCTTCAGTACAGTAAAGAGTGTATTTCCTCACTGTTCCTTTTGGTGCAGTCTTTTCTGGTTTTCTTAGGGGTGTTTCAGTCTCAACCTAAGCTGTGGGATTTTCTCGTGTAGTGCCTCTTAGGAACAATGAAATGGTCCTCCTTTCTTGCTATCTTGGTGAGGTTATCTCAATTCCGTCTTATTTTTTGAGATATTCCTATTGTGTTTTGTTTAGTTTACATTTCCATTAACTTATGTGTTATTTCTCCTCATTTTTGTTTGAAGCTTGTACTGAAGCGTGTGTATTATTGACTAAATTTGTGGCCTGATGCTTGGTTTGATCTAAAACTTATGGGCTGCCTTTTTATTCTCCTCCTCCATATTGTGTAATTTAGGTATCTTTTACCTCTAGATTTGTTTCATGTTTTATTGTTGCTTTGTAATAGACCTTTTTATACTCCAATCAAGTACAACATTTTGTTGGTTGCTTTTATTTTTTTAACCCTTTCTGCATTGAATTATAGTGTAGCAGGGTGAATGATTTTCTTTTGAAAAATTAATTTTACTACTTTACTTCCATTTGTTTCTTGCCTGTAAGGTTTGTACTGGGTAGTCCATGGACATTCTGATAGATGTTCCCTTATAGTTCAATCTTCTTTCTCTCAATGTTTTTAGTATTTGTTCCTTTGTATTATCTTTCAATAGTTTTATATAGTGTGTTTTGGAGTCTCTTGGTGTGGTATTATTTTATTTGGAATTCTTTGGGCCTCTTAGATTAGGATATCTGGTTTGTTCCCCCAATTCAGGTGGTTGTCAGTGATCATTTATGATCATTTATTTAAGTAAAGTTTCTGTGACTTTTTCTTTCCTTCTTGTGGGATCCCTATGATTCAGATTTCCTCTCTCTTTAGGTTGTCTCAAAGAATTCTTAGATTGCTTCCCTTTTTTGGTTCTTTTGTATCTTTGTTGTTCTGTTTGTGTGTTTTCTGTTATTGTGTATTCAAATGTGTTAATTCTTTCTATTACTTGCATTTGTCTCTTTTGAGGCCCTTTATTATATAGTTTAATGAAATTATAAGCATTTTAGGTCCATTAATCCTATTGGTAGTAGTCTCATATTTTCTCTATCTTTATTGTATTCTTGTTTTGGATCATCCATTCTTTTTCTTAATTCAACAACCATGATTATAACTGTTCATTAAATTCCTCAGGCATATTCCATCCGTCTGCTGGATTGAGACTTCTCTTGTTTTTGTTTTTTTTTCACTCTAGTGTTTGTGATATGTTCTTCTGTTACATCATTTTTAATTTTTATGAGTTATAATAGGGAACTTCCTTTTCTTGTGATAAATTAGTTTTATACCTCATATAGCTATTTGTAATCCTAGTATTTTTACTCAGGATCTTTTAGTTTCTGTTAATTTATAAACCTATGAACCTGTTCAGATGATGGGAACACTGATACAATTTAGGGGTAATAGGTAGGAAATGGGAGAGAAAAGCATAGAAAGGTTGCCCCAGTGAGCATCAATGATTCAGACTTCCTCGACTACTTTGGGTCTCTCGGATATGTGGTAAGGATCCATATTGAATCCTTAATCTTTGGCCAGTTTCTCAACTAAAATATCATATGCAATTTCATGGTTGCCTCAACCTCTAGCTGTGGTTGAGCAGTAGGTTCAGGAGCTTGTGAGAATTATAGGTGCACAAGCTTGGAATTACTCCCTTTGCTTTTGGAATAGGAAACCTTGCCCTAGGGTCCATTCTCCTATTATTAAGGTCAAAGTGCTCCAAATTCAAGTTAATGACTGTATTTGGTTGTCTTGATTGTGTCTTTTGGTGACAGTAAGTCACACAGCCACAGGCTCAAAATAATAACCCCTTCTGTCATGAGAAACAGATAATCCGGTCTGACTCTGCCAGTTCCAACTCCAACCTTATTGTTTGGGAGCCACTGAATACAGCCAGCTATCACTCAACAGCCTTTCTCCTGTAGTTCTCCAGTGGTACCCCGTTGTCTTATATTCCAGTCTCTGTAACCATTTCTCCAGTGTAGTCCCTCAATTTTAAAGTCCTTGATGTGGGCATGTGCCCCTGGGGTAACAATAATGGGATGTCTCTGTATGGCGCTATTCCACCCACTCGTAAGTTGTACTGCCCCAATATTGTTCTTTGCATAGTTTCATTATGGTTTTCTCTACCCCTGTGTTGCTGTTCTAGTTGTATATAGTAGCTATCAATTTATCTTTCAGAGGTCATCTATTTCTTGTTGTAATTTGGTTGTAAATACGTACAGGAAGCAAGCCTGGTATCTTCAATCTGCTGCCATCTTGCCAGACTCAAGCATATTACTTTTACAAGTAGTTTGATTGATTCTATGCTTTTGAATAATGTACAGTATTGTAAACCAATGTTAACTCAATAGAGAAAAAATAAATGCATAAAAGTGATTTGAATGACATGCTTGTATATAACTTTGACTTTGGATTTATTAAGCCTAATTAAACTTAAAAGTGAAACATAAAATATTTATCCATGTATTTGTTATGAATGTTATTCAAATTAAACTATACTATATAGTTCTGCCACTAAGACGACTGTGTAACTTGGCACCATCCCCTCCCTAAATACAGTGAGAAATTTGGACCCTAAACACTTGAAGAATTTATTAAAATTTATAGAGGAGAGGCAGGCCTGTCATTTTACTTCCTGTCTCTTCATGAAATATTGAGTTACCGGTAGAAGTCAACTTTTATTATATTGGGTTGTTGGAAAAGTCATGACACATTTTTTTCTCTGTTTTTCAAAGAAATAATATGTCATCACTTTTCTGGCAACCCAATATATAAGCTATACAATACAATATATAAGCTATACAATATAAGCTATACAATAAAAAAAATTAAGAAAAATAAGTCAGCACTCAGTTTTGTGTGTGAAATTATTGGACACATTTTCAATAATTTGAAAAATAGTCTATATTGGTAAAGTAGTTCTTTTATTGTTTAACTCTGTATTGTCCTCATCAATCCTCTCTAAAATAAAAGATGACCAGGGGGGCGGAGCAACATGGCGGCGAGGAGACGCTGCAAGTAAGATCTCCCATTAAAAAAAGTTAATAGGGAGGAAAAGCGGCAGGTCCCAGTGAGAACTGGGACACGGAAGATAAACGGGTGATGCCAGCGAACTGCCCGAAGAAGAAACTGGCCATAAAAGAGGACTAGAAGGGAGGGAAGCGGCAGAACCCTGCTCCCCTCCCCCGCCCACAGAGGCGGCACTCTCTGACCGGCAGAGAGGAGGAAACAACAAACCAAAACGGCCCACAAGAACAAACGACGCAGCAAGCGGACCTTGAGTGGAAAGGAACTATTGCAGCCACCACACCCCGTGAACGGGAGCTGAGGCGAACCCTGCAGGATCCGCCGCGGCAGTGAGCGAACGGCTCCGGACGCCATTAGAGAAGAACAAAGACCCCGGGAAGACGCACCACACAGCCCGGGGCTGCCGGTAAGCTGGCGCAGGAAAGCTGCACTCTCGGGCGCTTGAAAAGCAAGTGCAGGGCCTCCCCGGTGGCTCAGCGGTTGAGCGATGGGTTGCGAAGCTGCCCACGACCTCGGCGGCGCTGGTTCGATCCCCGGCTGCTCCCCGGCCACCAGAGGAGGGTCCCACATGGCGCGCAGACCTCTCCTGCCGCCCGCTGCTCCCCTCAGCAGTGTACTTCGGTCCTTCTGCCTGCTCTGTTCCCCGCTCTGGCTCTGGTGAATTCTCTCACCCTCCCGTGCTTCTGACTGTACCCAGTGCATGCATAAACAAAAAACAAACAAACAAATAAATAAATAAATAAAACATGCCTCTATTAAAAAAAAAAAAAAAA